TGTGTGATCCAAATGAGTGTCCTGTGGAACAGTTCGCTGAGGACTGCGGAGCAGAGGACAGAATACATCACGCAGTATCATTTGGATTTCTGAACTAAGTCCCGACCAAGACAAGTCCGTATTAGGAATAGAGGGAACCTTGAAGTGAGCGGCTCCATTAAAGACCGGTGGGGATGGGGCGACTGTTGGGGCAGACAGTTTCCCACAGGCTGAATCTAATGCACGATTACAATAAATCAGTGCTGTGTTGAGTAGGCCATGAGCAAACAGGGAACGTACAATCTAAAACCAGGTACGCGACATTTGGGGAGAAACGGGGGAGAGATATTCGTCAGATTTTCACGAAAATAATTAATCGCATAGACTGTAATAATCCGTAATCAATCAATCATGAATCAGAAGCACAAAAGAAACAAGCGACCAGTGAAATCGTTCGAGCATCTAAGTCCGACAGAAAGCAATTGATTTATACATGCTTCTGGTCCCGAATTGTAAGCGATACCGAAGGAATAGAAATCCAACAGACGTTAAGCGAGGAAAATGAAAGTATTCCTTGATTAGACGAAACCTTTTACCCCAAGATACAGCGCTGGTAAGCTGTAAACACCTTTACGACCCTGTCTAGAACTTGAACAATGTGAGCATCTTATTGAAGAAGCATGGGAGCAGGATGATTCCAAGTGGTCCAGGTTGATGCTATGTCAAAAAAGAACAATACAACAGAGAAATAAGGGAAACGAAGGAAAGCATTGAAGGAAAGATGTTAGGAGATGAACTACCATTTAAACATGAACGATATATTGTACACAGATCGTACAAAGAAATCGGCTTACGTCAGACCACGTGCGCAAAGCGATTAAGTGCACACCGCTGAGTCCAAGAATCAGCATTTGCGAACCATGGGTGCCCAAAGATTGCGAACAAGCACGCTGACCAGCATAGGCCTGAATTCAGCACAGGAAATGGGTATGTGCCGAAAAACATTGTAATTAAAAGGGTTACAAATAACATTTACATCAATATATGTTGTCATCCAATCTTAAAGTGAATTTTAAAAATGCAAGGAATTCACATAGTCAGTGAGCAACCTGTTTTTTGAGAGAACGCAAATGAATAAAGTAATCTTTTTAGACTTTTTTCCTGATTCCTTTGGGTACTGAGAGAAACAAGTATATTGAGTAGCTATGAAATGTAGGAAGCTTTCTAAGAAACGACGTGAACCAGGAGCAGAATGTTGTGTACGTTTTGATCTCTCAGTGAGCTGGTGACAAGATGAATAGTGCGATGAAAGCGTCAGCAAAGTATCTTAAACACAATTATATACAATACTTCGGTTATTTTTTAAATTGCATAGAATGATATCATTTTTTCTATACGTCACTATAAAGTCACTGAAAACTCTATAGCACCTTAGATTTCGGTGTTAAGTTCAGATACCCTACTACTATGTGGATTGTATCCCATGGAGTACAAATGTGAGCCTCTGGAGCGATCGATGGTTTGACGATCAAGTGCTAGTCGATTGCCGAGCAGTATAGGACATATACGCTCACATGATCTTTTTTGACAATCTGAAAACAAATTAATTCGCTTCACATGAGAGGAAACGGAAGGGTGATGAATATCGGTTACTAAAGCGTTCGGTCAACCTGTTCATTGTTCTGCTCGGTAAAATACCTTCCATCTACACCTTTTCCCATCAAGCTGTAACCAAAACCCGCAGTCCTTCAGCCTCTAGCCGTAATTATTTAGCTAAAACCCGAAATGCGTTAGCCTTGGTTCACAATCCCTTAGCCAAAATCCACAATGCTTTAATCCTCGACACACAAGCTTTAGTAGGTGATTCAGAGCAACAAATGTCTGAATATTCTGAAATCAACGGATGTTGAAAAAAATCATTTCTACAAATGTTGACATGACAAAGCTTCGTTAGGAACTAAGGTGGGAGGTCGCAAGCGACATCATTTGTTGACTGGAGAAGGTTTAACTGATGTGCCCGGATCGTCAAACATTTAAAACAATTCGTACAGTTTCAGTATTTCCGGTTTTTACTCATAGGAGTATCGCATGCTATACGGAAAGGGAAAAGGTGTAGTAGCAAGATATTTCCAATTGATACCGAGATATCTTAAATTTATATTGATAAAATTTCAAAATGTTAACCTGAAAATATGCGTTACTCACAAGTAACATCTTTCCATTCACAGAAATAACTTTCAGCAAAGATGCTCAATGGCAAGAAGAAATAAGCTTACCAGGGCTTCACTGACGGAGCCACCATCAGCCGCAGACTGAAACAAGTAGGATGAATAGCAAAGCTGTATTCCAGACAAATCCGCAGTCTGTGGGGAAGGGATAAGTTGTGAAAGCGATGAATGAAAACTGGATATCAAACAACACTTCATTGTTTATCAAATTGAATCTATTTCATCGTCTATTTTTCAATGAAATTTAAGAGGGAGTCAAACTGAAACGTGATTTAGAATCCAAAACGTTTACAATGGAAAACTAAGGGAGATAAGGCAATTTTACCTTTTGAAAAACCAGACAAAACATCGCGTTTGATTTGGAAACAAATTTAACAACAAACACTAAATGAAAAAATGGTATGAACCCACAGAAATTAACAATTAAGTGCCTATTTTCACCGGAAGCAGTGGCTATTCGACGCGAATCTAGCATTGGGAAAACCAAACAATCTCGTACCGGCAATAGTAGACAATATAAAACTGATTGATAGACAACAACAACCAGTCCATAGTACAAGAAACTATGACTCATCGTGTTGTGTCTTCTCATGTCATCCTCAGTTTTCACTCAACTGCTTTATGGAAGACGAAATTCGCTTTTACAGAACTGAGGAGCGTTCACTGCAACTGCCACAAACAACAATGTTTACAACCCAACAGCTTTTACTCGATGTGAACAAGTGAAAAAACTCTAGTACAGAATTTTATTAGCGATGTAGATTTTCGTGAGTAACCACGGAATATTATTTCGTTAACGAAATGCATTTAAGATATGAGGAATTGAAAAACTAAGCAGGATCAAAATTCGCTTATAAGACTACGTTATAGTAACTGATGCAACCAAACAACGCAGTAGGATAAACGCCAAACAGCATTCTCAATCTGATGATGGATGTTTTTCCGAGGAAAGAATCCCAGTTGGGTCGATGGGTTCGCACTACTGAAGAGACCAAACCAGGTCGAAACAGCTGGCCAGTGCTTCACAGCTTTTCAGCTCACACCTGATTTACACGATAAATTTATCATATACACGAATCAAATCCTCCGTTACTCTCATATAACAAACAGTCAGGTTGTGAAAGCGTCCAATCGAGTCATAACTCTGGAGGGTGGAGTTGAGATGAGTGAGGATTGATACTCGTAACAAGCTCGCAAAAATGAGTTGTGCTATACCACAGAGAACTATTTTGCTAACGACATGCATTTAATATGTAACGTGACCTGGTAAGAACTGACAACAAGAAAGCCAATACTATCGGTTCGTCGATATATCCTTCAGTGTCTTTACCCAACCACTTGCAGTGTTTTTGACCCCAACCTGGAAGACGGGAAACACCTATTATGGCTCATTTTTCTGCACATTTCTTCATGCCTCAGTTTAACGTCATCTGCTGACCTCCAAGTGGTTTCTTTCAACCTGGAGCCGCAACTGCGAAGAAGGCGCGGTGTGGTAAACGACGGCTGGGCATGCGCAATACGCGTCATAACCAGCAAAGTCGACAAATCTGAATTCGATGGGACAACGAATTCTCTATCGGATCAGTTTCAAATACGCGACGTCTTACCTCAGAGTTGCTTACAAGTTCGAATCATCCAACCCTTGTAAAACCAGATAAACATCGGCGACTGAAGACATCTAGACGACGAATATCTTCCACGCCAAATTAACGGTCTCACAACCATAACGCAGAACTGACCGCACGCTGGCACAGTATACACCTTTCAGTTTCAGGTCTGTACCAAAGGTGTTTCAAACCTGCGATAGTTGCTCGAACCCTGGAAATGCGGCCGGTTGCCTCCTTCGATGCGCTACCGTCATTGGTCACGCAGCTACCTAAGTGGTACAAACCTTTTATTATAGCAAATTCTTGACCATCAAACATCAGAGTAGACGAAACCCAATCTTGTAGCATCACTTTGCACTGTGAAGGTGAAAAGCACATATTGAATATCCTATCTTGTATTTTCCCATGTTTAGCTGTTTCACCCCCTTATCACTATGTTCTCTACCTTAATCCACTTATCCCGTTTTATTGTTATTGTTATTATTGTTGTTGCGTTGGCACCATGCTTGTCTTCAAGCCGGTGGTAATATATATATATATATATTATATATATATATATATTTGAAAGTATGTCAGGAGCGCTTTGCGCATCATCTATACATTCGAACAGGCAAACCATGTCGTCAGCATATTCTAAATTGCACTGTTTTTCTCCATCTTCCTGTTCCATATCAACATTTTGGAGACCACTAAGTGCGTTCTTCAGTATTTCGTCTACGACAAAATTGAACAGGAATGACGACATAGAGCACCCTTGACGAACGCCACTCCTGGTTTCGAGCGATTTACTTAGTCCACGGTAGAACCTTACGCTACCAAAAGTATGCAGGTAAAATGATCGCATTAGATTTACATACTACGCGGCATTCCTTTGCGAAGCAGCGACCGCATAAGAGCTTCACGGTCAACCGAATCGGAGGCTCCTTTCAGGTCAATTGTTGGCCGACGATGTGTGATGAGCATTTCCAGGACCTGGCATGAAGTGAAGATTTAGTCGATGCAACCGCGACCTGGTCGAAATCCTGCTTGCTGCACGCGAATAGTTATCACTCTTAAGAGTGTTAGGCGGCGAAGTATCATATAAGTCAAATTTTGTGATTATCGGAACTAAACGAATCCCACGGTGGTTTGCGCAGTCGTTGTGTGATCTCTTCTCGAAGATAGGAACAATCAACTATTCACCTCCTACCAAATGTTGTGACGTAAGCGGGTAATGGAGTAGACAAAAGAATCACTGCCCACCTTGAAAATAACAGTGAGAAGCCTACCCGATCCCGCCGACTTCCATTGCTTTATTGATTGAATGTAGCTTCGTACTTCCAATTTTGATGGGGGGCTCACATGTTACTACCCATGGAGTTTCTGCTGCAATTGCCAGAATAACCGCACTGGCACTAGGCCAACTGCTCATTAAAATACTCCTCTCAGCGATTAGATCGTTGTTTCTTATTGTGCATACTCTGCCCACTTTTATCGGAAATAGTCTCACTGACCGGTATGCGTATCAGGTGAAACAGTCTTTGACTATTCCCTGACGCAGAAGCTACCTCCATTCCACTAGCTATTTTGGCCCATCAGTTTTCGGTATCTTTCTTAAGGCTTTTCCTAAGTTGGCATTGCAGGCGACACCGGTCCTTATGCTGATCCTGGCACATTGGGATCTTTCGCTTTTGACTCCTGAGAGATTCAATGTCTTCAGCGAATTTCGGGCTCGATCTCAGAAACAAAGATCAGTGCTCAGTGCATCGCAAATCTAATTTGGTTCACTCCATTATGTCGCCGTTCTCCTCACAACGTGCGCAAACAGATGGATCGTGCAGACGATGAACTAACTTAGGAGGAGATTTCTGCCGATGATCAATGAGTCCAAGGGTGGAGTGTAACAGAACTAGAGCAGGATCCGACTCAACGCAGGTAGTCCAAAAGGATCTGAAATTTTGTACTGAACGACGCCAACGGTAGCCTACAGCTATGTGGTCAATGTGGACCAACTTTCCCGTTGAACTAGAACACCATGTAGTCGTTTGACCAGAGTTGTGTCGAAAGCTGATGCAGCATAAGAGCTGATAATTTGCGCG